AGAACTGAACTAGAACTGAACTAGAACTGAACTAGAACTGAACTAGAACTGAACTAGAACTGAACTAGAACTGAACTAGAACTGAACTAGAACTGAACTAGAACTGAACTAGAACTGAACTAGAACTGAACTAAACTGAACTAGAACTGAACTAGAACTGAACTAGAACTGAACTAGAACTGAACTAGAACTGAACTAGAACTGAACTAGAACTGAACTAGAACTGAACTAGAACTGAACTAGAACTGAACTAGAACTAGAACTGAACTAGAACTGAACTAGAACTGAAATAGAACTGAATTAGAACTGAACTAGAACTGAACTAGAACTGAACTTGAACTGAACTAGAACTAGAACTGAACTAGAACTGAACTAGAACTGAACTAGAACTGAACTGAACTAGAACTGAACTAGAACTGAACTAGAACTGAACTAGAAGTGAACTAGAACTGAACTAGAACTGAACTAGAAGTGAACTAGAACTGAACTAGAACTGAACTAGAACTGAACTAGAACTGAACTAGAACTGAACTGAACTAGAACTGAACTAGAACTGAACTGAAACTAGAACTGAACTAGAAGTGAACTAGAACTGAACTAGAAGTGAACTAGAACTGAACTAGAACTGAACTAGAACTGAACTAGAACTGAACTAGAACTGAACTAGAACTGAACTAGAACTGAACTAGAACTGAACTAGAACTGAACTAGAGAACTAGAACTGAACTAAACTGAACTAGAACTGAACTAGAACTGAACTAGAACTGAACTAGAACTGAACTAGAACTGAACTAGAACTGAACTAGAACTGAACTAGAACTGAACTAGAACTGAACTAGAACTGAACTAGAACTGAACTAGAACTGAACTAGAACTGAACTAGAACTGAACTAGAACTGAACTAGAACTGAACTAGAACTGAACTAGAACTGAACTAGAACTGAACTAGAACTGAACTAGAACTGAACTAGAACTGAACTAGAACTGAACTAGAACTGAACTAGAACTGAACTAGAACTGAAACTAGAACTGAACTTAGAACTGAACTAGAAATGAACTAGAACTGAACTAGAACTGAACTAGAACTGAACTAGAACTGAACTAGAACTGAACTAGAACTGAACTAGAACTGAACTAGAACTGAACTAGAACTGAACTAGAACTGAACTAGAACTACTATAACTGAACTAGAACTGAACTAGAACTGAACTAGAAACTGACTAGACTGAACTAGAACTGAACTAGAACTTGAACTAGAACTGAAACTAGAACTGAACTAGAAGCTGAACTAGAACTGAAACTAGAACTAGAACTAGAACTGAACTAGAACTAGAACTGAACTAGAAGTGAACTAGAACTGAAACTGAACTAGAGGTGAACTAGAACTAGAAGTAGAACTGAATAGAACTGAACTAGAGTGAACTAGAAGCTGAACTAGAACTGAACTAGAACTGAACTAGAACTGAACTAGAACTAGAACTGAACTAGAACTGAACTAGAACTGAACTAGAACTGAACTAGATCTGAACTAGAACTGAACTAGAACTGAACTAGAACTGAACTAGAACTGAACTAGAACTGAACTAGAACTGAACTAGAACTGAACTAGAACTAAACTAGAACTGAATTATAATTTATGTCATCGTTAGAAAAAAAAATTGTACACAACAACAAAACATAGTTTTTTATGTTACATGTTGTTGTATTTTGTTTGTCTTGAAAATTGTTACGGCTTTGTTATTCAGTTAACGGTAGAATCAGGGATGGAAGATTACGTAAAATAAAAAAATATAAAATACTTTTTAATTAATGACATTTAAATAAATTTTTCTTTTATCATTATTTTTATGTAATTCCGTTTGTATTTTAAAAAGGACAGCAATACGTATTTTGAATTTGAACGGGGTTTTGAACCTAAATTTAATTTTTCTTGGTGTAATTTTGACAGTAAATAATAAATACCAACACCAATAACAACTAACCTCATCATCATTCGATTTATAGTAGAATATACTTATTTTTCATTTAAGATTTTTCCTTTAGCTTTACGAAAAGATGAACATGAAGAACACATAAAAAAATTTTAAAACGATGGAGTAGAAAGAAAAATTTAAAGCCAGTAAATTTTTACTTTTTTTTTTTTGCTAATTTATTTTTTTGAAACAACATTTGGTAACCAACGAACTGTTCATAACTTTAAAACATCTTATTATTGGCAGTAACAGCAGCGACAGCCATCTCAGGCTATGAGCAACAACTGTTGGCAGCAGCATTAAAAAAGATTAAATAATGATGAAAAACAAAAGAAAAAAAAATTACTTCTAATGCCACTGCTGCTATGAAGCTGCCAATAACATTAAAGGTGAACAAGTTCTTTTGTTAAGTAAAAACATAAATATTTTATTATTGTTGAGGTATTAGTAATGGAAATCAAGTAAAATTAAAATTTATGATTTTTTTTTTTAAATTTTTTTTTATTGAACAGCTAACGTTAAATGTAATTTTTTTATAGATAATGATAAGATTGAGAAATCACTTCTCTAATCATGCTATTCTTTAACTCTTCTCACCAAGAAAACTAAAGCCTTAAACATTATTTACCAAATGAGAATTATATAGATACTTTGTATATAGTAAGATCGGTTTATGAAATTCTTATCTGTAATGTTTATTGTAATTGTTTTTTTTAATAGACGTTTTAAAGGGATCTTTAACGGTTTTAAAATGTCCCTCATAGTTACTAAAATATAAGTCATTTCTTGTATATAGAACATATTTAATGTAATTCACATGCTACGCAGATGCTAATAATTAAAAGCTAAATTTTCGCTGGGTTACTTTCAACTTAATCAACACCTTTGAGATTTACATTTTGCATAATGAATAATCATTCTTAATAATTTGTTAAAAAACAAAAAAAAAACTTTTATTTTTACCTATCGTAAACTATTTAGTACCCTAAAAAGGCAAAATGAGTTTAGCAAATCTTCCCCAGAAAGTCTTTCAAACTTTAATATTGAACAAAAAGAAATATTCTATTTTTTTAGCTTTTCATTTGAATACTAATACATATTTTAACCACAATAGCAGCAATACAGCAGCTTAAATACAAAGAGAGGGAGAGAGAACTTTTTTATTGTCATTCTACTGTAATAAAGATTTTCTTGTTTTACAACTCCATTTTCATTTGCAACCACTTCCGGTGAAAATTTTCTTTTATTGTTTTGTTTTTATGGAGATTAAATACCAGTCATTTGTATTCATACACCGCTTTCATTAATTTCAGCAGCAGCAAATTTTTTTTTTCTTCTAGTATTTGTGATTTTCTTTGTGGTGGAATTTCAGTTGTCTTCATCAATTTCTTTATGTTTGGAAGTAAAAAAGCAGAAGAAAGGAAATTATTATTCAGGGTACTTACAGTTTTCAGGAATACTAACAAACAGTTTTAAGATTTAAGAACTAGAATGACTGAACTAGAACTGAACTAGAACTGAACTAGAACTGAACTAGAAACTGAACTAGAACTGAACTAGAACTGACTAGAACTAGAACTGAACTAGAACTGAACTAGAACTGAACTAGAACTGAACTAGAACTGAACTAGAACTGAACTAGAACTGAACTAGAACTGAACTAGAACTGAACTAGAACTGAACTAGAACTGAACTAGAACTGAACTAGAACTGAACTAGAACTGAACTAGAACTGAACTAGAACTGAACTAGAACTGAACTAGAAACTGAACTAGAACTGAACTAGAACTGAACTAGAACTGAACTAGAACTGACTAGAACTGAACTAGAACTGAACTAGAACTGGAACTAGAACTGAACTAGAACTGAAACTAGAACTGAACTAGAACTGACTAGAACTGAACTAGAACTGAACTAGAACTGAACTAGAACTGAACTAGAACTGAACTAGAACTGAACTAGAACTGAACTAGAACTGAACTAGAACTGAACTAGAACTGAACTAGAACTGAACTAGAACTGAACTAGAACTGAACTAGAACTGAACTAGAACTGACTAGAACTGAACTAGAACTGAACTAGAACTGAACTAGAACTGAACTAGAAACTGAACTAGAACTGAACTAGAACTGAACTAAGAACTGAACTAGAACTGCACTAGAACTGAACTAGAACTGAACTAGAACTGAACTACTGAACTAGAACTGAACTAGAACTGAACTAGAACTGAACTAGAACTGAACTAGAACTGAAACTAGAACTGAACTAGAACTGAACTAGAATTGAACTAGAACTGAACTAGAACTGAACTAGAACTGAACTAGAACTGAACTAGAACTGAACTAGAACTGAACTAGAACTGAACTAGAACTGAACTAGAACTGAACTAGAACTGAACTAGAACTGAACTGGAACTGAACTAGAAATGAACTAGAACTGAACTAGAACTGAACTAGAACTGAACTAGAACTGTACTAGAACTGAACTAGAACTGCACTAGAACTGAACTTTAATTTATTGTCATCGTTAGAAAAATAATTTGTACACCACAACAATACATAGTTTTTATGTTACATGTTTCTGTATTTGGTTTGTCTTGTAAATTGTTATTTCTTTGTTTTTGAGCTAGCGTTAGAATCAGGGATGGAAGATTACGTATAATAAGAAAAATATAAAATACTTTTTTATTAATGTACTAGAACTGTACTAGAACAGAATTAGAACTGAACTAGAAATGAACTAGAACTGAACTAGAACAGAAGAAGATGAAATGAAACTGCAAACTAAATACCCGTAATATCATTGCCCAATAAACTTTTTAAATATGTAATTTCTAGCAGAAAACCATTAAAAATCCTGACATGTACAATCAACTTAAAATATAATTTTCAATAAAAATTCCTTTCGAATTCCTTTAAAGTACTTTTAATACTTACCGTCCATTAAATTGTCATAAAACTTGACTTGTAAATTACTCCTCTTCTATATTAGTTGGTCATCAATGTATGTCATAACTTTTACTTTCAGATGTTTGCTGTTATATTTTTGCCTTCATAAAAATGGCCCACATCTCTAATGTCCTTTTCTGGTTGTTTAAATTACAGGCAAAACGAAAAAAATTAAAACAATAAAAATAAACACAAGCACTTCTGCAAAATTAAGTTATAAACATAAACAATGCCTTGCAAATTATATTGCCCACTTATAAAAATAAAATTAAAAAAATACTTTAGAAACATTTCTCGAAACAAAGCAGGTTGGTTTTCTTTAAATGAGTGTAAAACATTATTTTGCAAAATTGTACAAATGATGAAGGAAATTTTCTATGGGACAAGTGTGCCATAAGGAGATAGCAATTTTATAGACAATTTAAAAATTTTTAGGGAAATTATTTAAAAAATAGTAAGCTTTTTATGCTTACCACCTCCATTCACTGGCCATTTTTCTAGCGAATGGCTGTCTAACAAATGACTTAACTTCAAAATCATTTAGCTAAAGTCTTGTGCAAGTCGTTAGGCAAGTAACCTAAATAGTGATCTGTCTGTCTCTTTTGGTCTTGAAAATATTTGCCATTTAATGAATCGACTTTTTCTCTATAATTTTTAACAAAGTATTAAATTGCCCTAAAATATGTATATAATTTATAATAAGTTCCTAGGAAATATTTTATTTTTACTTTTCATGCATTTTTTCTTTGCAATTTTCTTGGATTCGTACAATTTTCATAAAATTTTATTTATGCATAAAATAATGAACGGTTACAGGCAATGAAAACACACACACAGTTGCTGTTAGCAAACAAATTTACATACTTTTATTAAGATTTTCAAGTCCGAATATTAATTTATTAATAGTTACATAAATTTTAAACATGTAACTTTATTCACGTCCTTCTAGTGTTTAATTTGTGCAATAACAAATAAGAAAATATTTGACGAAACCCAACAGAGTTTGAAAATGTGATTAGTTTCTTAAAAAACCGATTTTTATGTGAAAAACTACAAGTCTATTTTCTTGAAAAACAAGAGGCGCTATAGGAAAAAAGCCATAATTCTCTTTTGCAAAGCCGTGTGGACATAAACATTTGCTTTCTATAGATTGCATCAAGATATACTTCCTTAAAGAAATCTGTTAAATTGGCATGAACTCGAACTCAACTAGAGTTAAAACTGAACTAGAACTGAATTAGAACTGAACTAGAACTGAACTAGAGCTGAACTAGAACTGAACTAGAACTGAACTAGAACTGAACTAGAACTGAACTAGAACTGAACTAGAACTGAACTAGAACTGAACTAAAACTGAACTAAAACTGAACTAGAACTGAACTAGAACTGAACTAGAACTGAACTAGAACTGAACTAGAACTGAACTAGAGCTAATCTAGAACTGAACTAGAACTGAACTAAAACCGAACTAGAACTAAACTAGAACTGAACTAGAACTGAACTTGAACTAGAACTGAACTAGAACTGAACTAGAACTGAACTAGAACTGAACTAGAACTGAACTAGAACTGAACTAGAACTGAACTAAAACTGAACTAGAACTGAACTAGAACCGAACTAGAACCGAACTAGAACTGAACTAGAACTGAACTAGAACTGAACTAGAACTGAACTAGAACTGAACAAGAACTGAACTAGAACTGAACTAACTGAAGTAGAACTGAACTAGAACTGAACTAGAACTGAACTAGAACTAGAACTAGAACTGAACTAGAACTGAACTAGAACTGAACTAGAACTGAACTAGAACTGAACTAGAACTGAACTAGAACTGAACTAGAACTGAACTAGAACTGAACTAGAACTGAACTAGAACTGAACTAGAACTGAACTAGAACTGAACTAGAACTGAACTAGAACTGAACTAGAACTGAACTAGAACTGAACTAGAACTGAACTAGAACTGAACTAGAACTGAACTAGAACTGAACTAGAACTGAACTAGAACTGAACTAGAACTGAACTAGAACTGAACTAGAACTGAACTAGAACTGAACTAGAACTAAACTAGAACTGAACTAGAATAGAACTAGAACTAAACTAGAACTGAACTAGAACTGAATTAGAACTGAACTAGAACAGAACTAGAACTGAACTAGAACTGAACTAGAACTGAACTAGAACTGAACTAGATCTGAACTAGAACTGAACTAGAACTGAACTAGAACTGAACTAGAACTGAACTAGAACTGAACTAGAACTGAACTAGAACTGAACTAGAACTGACTAGAACTGAACTAGAACTAAACTAGAACTGAACTAGAATAGAACTAGAACTAAAATAGAACTGAATTAGAACTGAACTAGAACAGAACTAGAACTGAACTAGAACTGAACTAGAACTGAACTAGAACTGAACTAGAACTGAACTAGAACTGAACTAGAACTGAACTAGAACTGAACTAGAACTGAACTAGAACTGAACTAGAACTGAACTAGAACTGAACTAGAACTGAACTAGAGCTAATCTAGAACTGAACTAGAACTGAACTAGAACTAAGATAGAACTGAACTAGAACTGAACTAGAACTGAACTATAACTGAACTAGAACTGAACTAGAACTGAACTAGAACTGAACTAGAACTGAACTAGAACTGAACTAGAACTGAACTAGAACTGAACTAGAACTGAAATAGAACTGAACTGGAACGGTGATGACATTTGAGTCAAACACTTACCACGCTCGCTTACAAATGTCTACTTAAATAAGTAATAAGTAATTAGGTATTTAGGGATTTTTATTTTGTTTGAGGAATGTTAAAGAAAATTCCTTTAAAATAAATATAAACACACACACTAAAACACTTATTAATGTATAATACATATAAATAAAATGCCCAAGGACTTTAAGTAAAATTGAACCTAATTAAAAGTAGATAAGCTATTTCTTATAAAATACGATCCCACATAGATATGTATAAATTTTTGTATTTTACAAACATACTAACATATATACATACATATATTATAGGTATTGAAATATGCAAGTATATGACTAATATACATTATAATACATACATAACTATAACTATTTGATTACATCGTAATATACATATATACCTATGTAATTATAAACATTTGTATATATGTTTACATACTCCTACTCTTATGCAGTAAAATATTTCTTCACTCATACAAATGTTATGTATGTATGTGTGTAGTATTTGTGCCCAATATATTATAAGACAATTTTAAAGGTATATATTAATCTTATGAATGAACGAATGAATGAATGATAAATCATTGTTATATGATTATCATAAATCATTATGCTCATTTATAGTTTTGGCTTATTGTTGGTATTTATGTCAGCACCAGATAATTTATAACACAACATAATTACAACCGTAATACATACAATTGAAATTTCTGTTTAAGAAATTCCTATAATTTATATTTTATAAAGAAAATTACGTAGAAGAAGAATATTTTCTCAAATATCTTTATGTACTTTATGTTCATTTGTATATAATTATATATTTGTGTGAGTTTGTGTATAAAAAGCATAAAATTTAAGTTATTTGTGTGCCAATTACATGACATTTCCCAGTTGGAAATTAGCATAAGGAGCGCTATTAAGCCAAATGTAACAGGTTTTGTTGAACAATGTATTTCTTTATCAATTATAAGCTTTATGTAAACTAGTCCCACGCATTTTGATATTATTATATCTGATATGACATTATCCGATATAGGAAAAGTTCGTTTAAAACATAGTTCACTTGCTACTTTTTTCCAAAGCTGCTCTATTTTCACAAAATATGATTAGAAACTGAAAACAATAAACGTATTCTTTTAGGCTTTCCTATTAGGTTGCTGAATTGAAACAAAATTAAAATAATAGAAATAAACATTTCTAATTTTTGCAATTGGCATACATAAATTACACACCTAAAAGTTATAATCTTAACTGAACTAGAAAATAAGTAGAACAGAACAACAATAGAACTAGAACAGAACTGGAAGAGAACTAGAACAGAACTAGAACAAAGCTAGAACTAGAACAGAACTAGGACAGAACTAGGACAGAAGCTAGAACAGAACTAGAACAGAACTAGAACAGAACTAGAACAGAACTAGAACAGAACTAGAACAGAACTAGAACAGAACTAGAACAGAACTAGAACAGAACTAGAACAGAACTAGAACAGAACTAGAACAGAACTAGAACAGAACTAGACAGAACTAGAACAGAACAGAACAGAACGAACTAGAACAGAACTAGAACAGAACTAGAACAGAACTAGAACAGAACTAGAACAGAACTAGAACAGAACTAGAACAGAACTAGAACAGAACTAGAACTAGAACAGAACTAGAACAGAACTAGAACAGAACTAGAACAGAACTAGAACAGAACTAGAACAGAACTAGAACAGAACTAGAACAGAACTAGAACAGAACTAGAACAGAACTAGAACAGAACTAGAACAGAACTAGAACAGAACTAGAACAGAACTAGAACAGAACTAGAACAGAACTAGAACAGAACTAGAACAGAACTAGAACAGAACTAGAACAGAACTAGAACAGAACTAGAACAGAACTAGAACAGAACTAGAACAGCAGAACTAGAACAGAACTAGAACAGAACTAGAACAGAACTAGAACAGAACTAGAACAGAACTAGAACAGAACTAGAACAGAACTAGAACAGAACTAGAACAGTAGAACAGAACTAGAACAGAACAGAACTAGAACAGAACTAGAACAGAACTAGTAGAACCCGTGGAGTAACCATAAAAATAAATTCATGTCTACATTTTAATTTTTTTAGTTAATAAAGTTTGGATTGTATATTTTTACAAAAATCTACTTAATAAATTCCTAAATTTTTAACCCCAAAAAATTTTTTTCTACCCCACTGTGCATAATAAAATATCGAATTGAAAAATATAATCTTCTATTAAAATACGTTGTTAAAGAAAAAATTGTGTTAAACAAATGGTTACTGCATTATTTCATGCAAATCAAAGAACAAAAAAACTAAATTCAACACACAAAATTTATTTAAATCTACTTTTCCTTAGAAATACTGAAATAGCTACAAAAACTTTTCCAAGAAAATTTCAACACCA